TTTCTGCTAAGTGAATGAGTGGATGGATGTGGGCAAACATCTATTTTTACACTTGAAGGAGACAGAGCTAGCTCATCAAAGTACTTCAAGCAAAGCTGATCTTGATAAGGCAACACACCTCAGATGAAGTTAGGGCCATCTCGGGGGTAATATGGTCCAACCATAGCTTCAAGAGCAAGTGAATTGAGTATGAATAGGTTAGAAAATTGTTTCCTTGCCTGTATGTTAAAAAACACTATGTTAGTTAGTACTTATGTTAGGGTTAAAGTTTTTCTTTTTGGTGTTTGAGCGTGTGTTAGTCACTCCAATCTTGCACTTGGTGCTTCTTTACACTGCGGTTACAGAGAACTTTAATGAGCCATCTCTCTTACTTCTCCTTCCTTACGGGGCTACCCTCTAGAGACAGTCTTTCTGTATGATTTTAGGTTGCCTTTTTCTGAAGATGAATATTTGGTTTTGGAGAATGGTATCTAATTCCCACTGATTCCAGGAAAAGGCAAATGTTCACCTGCCCAGACCAGTCATTAAAATGATGAGGGTGCTAGGCATACGGCTCAGTGATTAAGAGCACATGCCACTTTTCCAGAGGACTAGAGTTCAGATCTCAGCACCCATGTTGGGCCATTCACAACCTCCTGTAACTCTAGTTCCAAAAAATGACACCCTCTTCTGGAACCATCCTAAAAGCATGTGCATACACACACACACACACACACACACACACACACACACACACACACACACATGGCTCCAGGCACAGGCTCATTGTCCAGCTAGACCAACCAAATTAAGGTGCTTTAGGTTCAATGACAGACCCTGTCGCAGAAAACAAAGGTGGAGAACAGTGGAAAAAAGATACTCTACACTGACCTCTGGCTTACACACACATCGTATGCACACATCACACTGCAACACACACACACACACACACACACACACACACACACACACCACCTTAACACAGGTTTAAAAAGATCTTAAAAGTTCTGAGATGATTTTTATATTTAAAAAATAAATTAAGTAACTTTACGAAATTAAATTCACCTTCTACAAATTCAAATACACAATAGTCTACTTTCATCGACGCAGCACTGACTCATGTCTTACGGAATCCTGGAGTCAAATAAAAGCTCCTGGTACAAATAGAGGCAAAGGGTAGAATAAAATGAACACGTGGGCCAATAAACTAAAACAAAATGCATTCTAGAAAGGCAAATAAAGTCTTGAACAAATAATGTCACCAAGCCAGAATGAAAACCTAACTAGATTGTTGCAGAAAAATCTCCTCTTTCATTAACCCATGTTCATGGGACTGACTAGATTTCTTTTTGAACTAAGAGGAATTCAGAAATTTCAGGAACTGGCCCTGACGCTGCTTTGTGAACACACCTCGTTCAGCTCCTGCAGACCCCGCACACACATTGCAGCTTTCTACTCTGTGAGGGTGGTGAGGGTCCCTTTCCAGCCAGTTCATACGGAATTAAGGTTGTTTCCTTTGAAAGTTTCCTTTCTGAGTTCTTACTACTTAAAACAAAATTCACTAACAACAGGTTACTTTGAACTGTGTGTTACACATGGCCTCTTTTCTCTGTTCCTCCTAAATGCCATGTTTATCAATGTGGAAACTGAAGTGTAGAGAGTATATGAATCGGTTCAGGCTGCTAGACAATAGACATAGCATAACAAAGTTCATAGTGTTAGGCACACCGTCTACTGGGTTGCTCTATACACCAAACATTTTTGTTTTCAGTGTTCCTTGCTGTATCTTCATGTGGAAAGAGACCTCTCTGATGTCTTTTCTTACAAGGGCACAGACCCTTAGGTGAAGACTCCATCGCCTTGATCTCAGCTAACCTTGATTACTTCTTTACCTCATGCAGTCTACACATTTAACATGTGCATATAGTATGTCATGGGTTAGTCTGTGTTCTTACGGCATCAGAGCTAGCATTTGAACCTCAAGGTCTGGCATCTGAGCAGTGTAGTCAATATTCTTGTCATTTTCATGGGGGGTTGGCAGGTTGGCCATAGTTTCTTGAAGAGCTTCCGACCTTTCTGCCTATGTTCTGGGCTTTACACATCTTCTCATCTGCCTCTACTAAATCTTCCTATGCCCCTCAGTGAATGTTCACTTCATTCATATGTAAGAGGGATTTCTACATAAAAACAAAATGTTTCATGTAAGAGGATTAATTCCCCCAAACAATGGAAAGCCGGTTTATGGAGCACATGGCAGACAGTCTTTTAAAGAAATTTGTCTTCACCTTCATACCCTTGAGGAATATGATAGCCTGTTTGGAATAGGTCTTTCTTTCTTTCTTTCTTTCTTTCTTTCTTTCTTTCTTTCTTTCTTTCTTTCTTTCTTTCTTTCTTTCTTTTTTTCTATCTTTCTTTCTTCCTTCCTTCCTTCCTTCCTTCCTTCCTTTCTTTCTTTTTTCTTTCTCTCTCGCTCTCTTTCTCTTTCTTCCTTCCTTCTTTCCTTCCATTCTTCCCTTTCTTCCTTTTTTCTTTTTCTCTTTCTTTTTTCTTTCTTAGGTTGTTCTTACTTACTTGATGATTCAGGAAGTTACTGTTTAATTAATTTTTAAAATATATATCTCTTCATTTTAACTTGTTCTTTTTAGCCTTTTCTTCATATTGAAAGATTTTTTTTTACAGGTTTTATATGTAAAACATAAAATGTAAGCGTAAAGTTAAAAAAGATCTCTCTCAAAAATGGGAGGAAGTGATGCATTGATGTAGAAACAGTCTTGAGTTCATCTCCCTCTGACCCACATGTGGTATTTAGAGCTTAAAAAGAAGATCTGAATATGACAGAGAGTAGAGAGGAAGGAACTTAGAACATGTTCCTCTTGTGCCATGGACAGTAAAGCACCCCTTAGACTTGTGTGGTACCCAGATTGATCAGATCATCTTCTTCAGCACCCCCTTCTCACAGTAGCTTAGAGGCTGACCGAATGACAACCAGGCACTTACCATTCTCTACAAGTAAATCCTAGAGGGGGAAAAACCCATAGAACTTCTAAAGTCTGCCTTTGTAAGCCAACAATTTGATGTCTCAGGGCTACATTGTCATTGAGCGATTGGTGTGTCACCACATTTTATCACAAATGACACTCCTGATCTGGATGCTATTTAAAATGTGTGGTAAGTGTCTTGATGCCGGCCTAAAGAATTAGAACAGAGAGCTGAACCATAGAAATTAGCCAGTTCATAAACACATAATTAGTGGCTGTGACCTGATTGTTGTGTAAATGCAGGGAGCAGACCTGCCTTTGACTGATTTTTATTCTCATGGAATATAAAAGTAAATATACTTATTACAAGACTCAGCTTGTGAAGTGCATTTCACAACTAGTGAAAATAATGCTTGATTTACCTAGTTAATCACTAATGTCTGTAACCTATGCTCTAATACCTTAAGACACTGAATTCATACAATTTTAGTTTTCATCCATGAAACTTGGCATGATTTATTGCTTTGGAACACTGACACACTTACCTAACTGTAAAGTTCCTAGAGGATTGACGTTATCCATTAATTGTGTTACATGTTTGATGCTTCTCTAATACCACTTCCTAACACACACAATCATCCACCCAACCACACACACACATCCCCCATACACACACAGTCATATTGTGTGTAGATGGACATGCGCTATACGAATACCTTTATGACCCACTTATTGTTTAGCTACCGAAGTCACTGCCGCTTCCACTGGAATTACACTTACCTGTCCCCTAAAACCACGTGTGTTTGTAATCTCTCACTTAGATTTTACGTGTTATGGGGGACACCATTTTGCTTCTATCTTAATGCAGTAAGGAGTCAAGTCATGGCAGAGCTTTACCATTTTCTGATTTGGCTCTCTTTTTTGATTAATTCTAAAGATTTTATGACTCACAATTGGCAGGTTCTCCTTGAGCTGAACTCACCTCGACTTCCAGTGCCCACATTCCATTCTGGCTTGAAGCTTTTCTAATTCTTGTAAACTCTTGCCATGACCTTCCAAATGACTTTTCGATGTGTGTTTGACTTCTGTGCTGTTTAAAACTTCTCTTTTTTACTTTTGCTTTGATTGTACCTTCTACGTTCCTGCTTTGCTTCTCTGTGAAACCAGTTTATCTTCAAAAAAAGAAAAAAATCCAAAATAAATAAGTAGAAAAAAAATAGAATAGCAATTGTATGCAAGTCCCCTGTGATGGCATGCTATAACAGTGAATCCATCCTATGTTACAACCTTGACTGCTCCCTTCTTGCCCACCTCATTCTTTTCCCCTACAGCTGTGTTCACTTTCAGATGTGACCAGCATTCTACAGTAAATACGCTGCCTCTTCTTTTCCTCACCATTGTGTCCTATAAAGTTGGTGGGTAATTTAAGAAAGGACAGAGCAGCATAAAGGCAACCAGGTGAATGTCAAATGACTACAGATCAAGGGCTTGAATGTCTTCTTGTTGAACTTCAGCAAACTAGGGTCTACTTCTGGGGTGGAATACTACAAGGACTTTATCAGACAGCAACCTGGCCAGCACTTACGCTATTTACAGCCCAAACAGTGAGTGTTGATGAACTCTGTCTAGGGCACTGAGGCACTAATATTAAATGAGGGCATGGCTAGGCCACAAATGAGAACTTGAACAAGTTTTTTTTTTTTTTTTTTCTTTTTTCCTCTCTTTTAAGAACTGGAAAATTCTGTTTTGAATACAACTAGCCATAGAATATCAAATTCTAAGTGTTCTGTCTGTTTGAAGGAAGAAAAAGCAAGGTGATTTTTTTTTTAACTGCAGAGAAGGACTGTGAGTTTCTCTCAGGAGCCCTGGGGAGTGGGAGTGACCTCCCAGATAGGGTTTGTGCCTCAAACCACAGCCGTCACATGGCCTCTTTCTGCTTTGCTACTTTTTGACTGCGCGTCAGAGGGCTGTGCATTTCGCTTCCCCCCTCCCCTCCTGCAAGGCCACCGAAGCATGTGTAGGCAGGATTAATCTTTGTCCACAATGTCCCTGCACAGGCTCCTGCAGCAGCAGAACTGCAATGGCAATTTGGAGTACTGTGCTGATCCTGCCTACAGCTACTTCTCCACACTCACAGGCTCCCTCACAATGGAAGACAACAGAAGGATTCAAACGCTGGCAGACACTGTGGCCACTTTGCCTCGGGGACGAAAGCAGGTATGACTGCAGCTCTGTCTAGAACGTTCATGTGGGTCTGACTAGCACTGACAGCGGTACTTGCTCCTGCGTGTCCCAGAGAATTCCTTGACTCCCCGTCCTCAAAAGTCATTTCTGTTCTTATTCAGAAGAGAATTCTTTTCCCCCCCCCGAAGACAACCTCCATCTACTAAGCCAATTTACTTAGGAGATAATGACTGAGAGAAAAGGCGAGGTCGGAGGTGACATGCCCACAAGAGATAGCGTAGGAGTTGAAAAAACAGTCACTTCTAAAAAAAAAAAAAATGTAAGAGAATATTTCTTTTTCAGTTAAAGATGTGCTCAAGTGAAATGAAAGGTGTTGAGCACAACAAACTTGAAGGTGGTTTAGAGTTAAGTTATCAGCACCATCGTCTTTCTTTCTTTGTGTCTCCGCTGATTCTGTCCCTTCTAAGTTTTCTCCCCCAGGCCTTGGTAGTCCTATCAGTTCACAGTCAGGAAAAGACTTCTCCCTTGAATGCAAAATTTGTCAACCATGTAAATTTTTCAGCCCCAGAGAACTAGTACAACCTGGGACTCTTGGGACTTTTTTTGGGGGGGAGGAAGGGGGAGTTAAACGTTGGCTAGGGACCCAGCTAGGCTACTTAATAGCTGTGACACCAGAGCAAGTGGCTAGCCTCCCTCACATTGCGTGCTTTCTAAAAGGACAAAAGACACTATCAGGCTAAATTCCATCCATTTCATTAAGTAACAGCAGAAACAACCTTCTTGAACTCTACGCTTAATAAGCAACAAAATGTGCGGGGCAGTCGGTACTTCGAAAAGGCTGTTCGAAAATTTTTATTGTATAAAATTTCTCAGGAGATTTGAAACTCACTTGGAAGAAATCTGTGTCTATGTGAATGTGTTCTGAATTTTTGGTCTTTAATTTTTAACACATAAAAATTAACTGTATACCTCTTTAGATATTTTTATCGTATGACTTGGTATAAGGCCCAAAGTGTGTATTTGAATTTACATACAGCAGTTGGGCACAAGATATTTAGAAATGACTGAGAGCATGGCCCACAATTTTGTGTGTTATCAAGTTTTCCGCTGAAGGCTCCTAAACTCAGAAGGCATTACAGAGTTCTGGCTTGGCGGAGAGGGAGGATGGTCCTTCAGTGGTATGGAGAACTGATTCCTTGGCATTTTCCACAGGAATGAAGATGATGGTATCACTTGCCAAGATGATTACCATTCTCAATGCAAAGTGCTTTCATGATACAAAGTTTGTGAACATCTCTGTTTTCCTCTGTTACCCATTTGTATACCAAATGGGTAACAGAGGAAAACATCACCATCTTTACTCAGATTCCAGGGAGAGAACAGCCCTTTTCTCTATTTGCTGCAAAGCTGTTAAACTAAATTTCTGTTCACTTGTTAGTCTGTGTTTCATTCCCCACTTACATTACTTGCCAGGAAAGAAACTTGTTACTTTTTGCATCAGTGAGGGATCCTTTCATATCCCCTTTTCAGCTCAGGAATTACATCATGCTGGATCCCTGCAAGATGAAAAACATCAAAGTAGCTACATGAGCCATTAGGGTATGTTTCCTTCCTGGAAGGGTTACCATTAAGAGACAGAATGGACGCCTGTTGTGTGGCATATATGTAACATGTGTCTGAAAATCACCTTTCAGGCTATTATTCCGAAGCAAGGGAATCCTTAATGTAAGTGCACACAGGGTCTGGTGTGTCAGGGAGGGTCAATGTGCCTATGAGAGGTCAGAGCAGAGACAGACATATGGGCACACTTCCTTGAGAGAACAGTGAGGTTGGCTGTTGCTATCCACAGGGCATTGGTTCTAAAACCACCATCCATGAAAATTAAGGACTGGAGATGTCTGAGTCCCTGATTTAAAGGAACAGCATATTTGCATATAAAAATGTTAAGACCGTATCTAATCCCGAAGACAATATCACTGACTATGCGAATAGCTGTCATGTTATATTGTTTAGAGACTGGGGGCAGAAAAGAAATTTATCCATGCTCAGTACAGGTGTAATACATTTTGTTTCTGTGGCGTATTTTCATCTGCAGCTGGTTGAATAAATGGATGCAGGGAGATGACTGTGATCTGACCGGCACCCAGAGTCAATGAATAGGTTTGAGGTGTTGTGGATGTTAGGAACCTCATTCTAGAAATGTGGCTGTTGGTGGAGGGACTTATATGGCTGTTGGGGAGAGAAAAAATAGAACAATGGTGAGAGAGCATAAAGACTCCGTGTCTGATGGCGCTGAAGAGCAAGGAGGCACTGCTGGCTTTCGAGTGTGAGTTAAGATGGTATGAACTGCAGGGAATCTTAGGAAAAAGTGGGAAACAGTAAGATCTGGAGAGGACAGGAACTCCAGAAGGAGAGCAACAGAACCAAAAAATCTGAGCACAGGAGTCTTTCCTGAGACTGCTATTCCAACCAAGGACTATGCATGGAGATAACCTAAGACCCCTGCACAGATGTAGCCCATGGCAGTTCAGTATCCAAGTGGGTTCCATTGTAATAGGAACAGGGACTGTCTCTGACATGAACTGATTGGCCTGCTGTTTGATCACCTTCCCCTGAGAGGGAAGCAGCATTACCAGGCCACAGAAGAAGACAATGCAGCCACTCCTGATGAGACCTAATTGACAAGGATCAGAAGGAAGGAAAAGAAGTCCTCCCCTATCAGTGGACTTGGGGAGGGGCTTGCATGCAGAGGGTGGAGGAAGGGAGGGATTGGGATGGGAGGAGGGAGGGAACCACGGGGGGGGGGGATACAAAGTGAATAAAGTGTAATTAATAAAGAAAAAAAAAAGAAAAAAAAGATGGTATGAACTGGAAATAAGTGAACTGGGCAATAAGTTGGCTGGTTACCAGAGGAAAAGATACAGAGACTTATGCACACAAAATGTGTGAACACACAGACTTCCTGTACCATTAACTCATGTACATGCACTTCTCTCGTTTCTCTTTCTCTTCTCACATTCTTTAATACACTGTGTGGCGCGCTTCCCCTCTTCTTAAAGCTTTTCCTTACTTTTATATTTCCCCAGTGAAAAAAAACCAAACAAACAAATAAACAAAACTAACCCAAGCCTTTTGCGCATGGACTTGTGGCTCTCTGCAATCACAGTGAAACTTCATGCAGGTATAGGCCAAGATTTTATACTTTTCCACTGGACATTTGCTGCCTAATAATTGTTTTCTTAGAAAAACAAACAGCAACAATAACAAAAAGAGAGAACCAGCCCTCTGGCACTATCTCAGTGGTCTGCAACAGGATCCCTGTGAGGCAATTGTGGTGACAGGTGTTCCTCTGTCTGCTGTTATTTTCAACACTTTGGGGGCTGACGTCAACATTCATACTTCTTGTTATTGTGGCTTTGGTTTCTATAAAACTATATCTGGTTAGCTTCTAGCTTCAGCTTGATCTTCAGAATCTGCTGGTTGTGTGCACTCAGAATTGTTTAAAAATACATTTCTGTGTGTGCGAATTATTTCAGTACCTGCCTTGGCAGGAAGTGCCAGACAGATCAGTAATGCTTCTAATTTTGAACATAGTGGGTTTTTTTGTTTGTTTTGCTTTGTTTTGGCAAAGCCCCTACAATATAAACTCCTGAGGGAGGGTGATGGAAGGGAAGGGAAGTCTTATAAGCATGCCATACACCAGGGGTAGACATTGTGCCTGACTGCCACGACCACAGGGCTCTAATGAAGGTGGCTCTCCTCTACCTGCAGTGAGAACCAGGAATCTGGGATGCAGGTATGAAGTTTGGCTATGAGTTAGGCCCAGAACAACAGTTTGTTGTTCTAGTTTTCTTTTATTGATGAAATTACCGCTAAATAGAAAACTTGCAGAAGGCTAGTTTCCCATAAAATTTCAGTTAGAGATGGTGCTAAATGCTTGCAACGGGTAGAGTTCTGGGTAGGGTTCTGCCCACAGGGACTTCCTTTGTGCTTCTGCTAGTACCTCATGAGCCAACATCAACACTGCAGTGCTCTGCTTGGGTTAATACCCAACCATTCTTCTTTCAAGAGGTGTGGGACTGTAATCAGAACTTTCTGGAAGCTGGACCATCCTATTCACCTCCCATATGGATATAATAAGTTAGGACATTGACTTTAGTTTCATTGTTCTGTTGTCTTTGGATAGTTTCATGATCCTTTCTGTCTTAACGGTCCGACTTTGAAAAGTGGGGGAGAGCTGTATTCATGAAACAGTTGGGAATAAAAGTGAGACAGGCAGGGAAACGGACAGAGCCAAGGACATATTTTGAAACAAAGTACTTTAAAATAAAGCCCACCTCTGATCTGTACCCTCTCCTTACCACAGCCACACTTTTGTGGGAAACCAGTACACAGAGCCAGGCCCAGAGCACAATAGTCTTGAGTTAGCAGCAAAAGTGGCTTCAGTGTTGGTCTCTGAGCTGCTCTAGGCAAGTTCACCACCAAGCTTGTTTCCGATTTCCTGTCTGTTTTGCATACTGACAGCTGCTGTATTTGGCCTTGATTTTCCACTAAAGAGAGACCTGTGAATCACTGCATAGCAAGAGACATTCTGTGTGGAATATTAATGCCTTGTCTTCTAAGTCATCTCACTGAAGGCAGAGAAGCCTCCCTAAGACCAGCCCCAGGCATCACTAGGCTCCGGGCTAGCAAAGAGCTGAAGAGCCTGGTCCGCTGCAGTCAGAACCGAATGTGTGGCTTTCAAGCCTGCCAAATCGCTAGACCTAGACTTCTCATATTAGATAATGTGTAATAAAAGACAGCTGTTGCCAGCATATGCTGTGAATTGCACACTAGTTCTCCATTCAGAATTTTTGTTGATGCTATTGTCGGGCTACAACTCAGAGAGACAGACGCTGGCTGGGAGGGCAGTCTGGGCACACCCCTCCAGGCACATCTTTAAACGGCTGGTACACGCTAGGGAGAGGGACACAAGAAAACCTTGATTCAGATGACTCTTGATAAAGCCTTGGATGTACTCCAGGTAAGACAGGCAGTTTAGCAGGTGAGCAAGGCAGACCTTGGGAGCTTTTATTTTATGTCACCCTTTAGGACAGCCCAGATCAAAAACCAAGAAGACGTTGTGCCAAGATGTGGCTGCCCACCCCCATCAAAGAGCCTGATGGGCGCTAATGTATTTTAATTGCTTTTTTTTTCTTATTTGTATGTTCAGTGCTTAAAATAACCTCTTTACCAGTCCAGAGTGGAAACTAATTTGGAGTCTGATTCAGTCTGAACTTTTTATGTCACTGATAACACAAACAAATGGGCCGTGGAAGTGCTATCATTCACTTTTAGCCAGTGAGCAGCACCGTTTAAAGGAGGGAGGTGAAAAAAAAATCCTCTTCTGTATAGAGAAATATGATCTGTTTGCTGGACCTAAGAGTTTAAACTTGAATCTACCTAAAATGACCTCTCTCTTGGGGCATCCTAGGGAAAAAAAAATCTTGAGGCTCCTACCAATTCTATGAATATGGGGTGAGGAAAGGGTTATTTAATACTATGGTAGCCAGATATTTTATTAATTCTTGCCAACATTTTTTTTTTTTGGCATCAGGCATTAAGATATCACTACTTTTCTTTTCTTCTTTCTTCTTTCTAGCCTACCTGATATTTGAGTAATCCTCCCCCACTCTCTACCCCCACACTGTTTCCTTTGGCTTTTAAAATCCTTCTATAGGTTTGAGATTTTAATTGTCATCTTTAAAAAAAATTCCCTTTGAATTTTTTCCTATGAACATTTAATTTAATGAAGGACAGAGTTAAAGTGGGTCTTAGCATATCCGCTTGAAGCTGAATATTTCACTTGGGTTCTCTCACCATCCTGCAGTTGCAGATGGCATCTGAGGCTTAGTTCTGTCTGTCCTGTTTGACTATTTTTAAAGTTACAAGCTACTCTCGGTCTCATGTGAAGCACTGGGGTGGAAAGTAAAACCTGTGTATTTCCCTAGCGTCTCAAAGCGTACAGATGGCTATCTGCAGAAGTGAAGCATTTGATCAAATGTGCTCTTCATACAAATGTGCATAGATAGACACATAGACACCTCAGTGCGAGTGCTAATAGGAATGATACGACAAACCAAAATAACAAGAGCAATGTTTGAAAAAACATAAAGCTCTTCATTGTGACTATAGTTAACAATTGAATACAGCTGAACTAAGTACTTGACAATCTGAATTTAGGGTGAGATACAAGGAAATAGCTCTAATGAAGCACATCAAGAAAACATGAAGACACTGTAAGGGTGATATGGACAGTGCTTATGAATATCACCTTTTTTTTACTTCCTTTTACAGGGATTCAGCCTTCTGACTTAACTGAAAAGTTCCCATTCTTGTTAATCTCTCTCTCCCTCTCTCTCCCCCTCTGTGTATGTGTGTGTGCTCATGTACATTGTGTGTTTGTGTATTCACATACATTAAGTATTTTGTATTCACGTACATTAAGTATGTTTTAGGCACAAAAATCAGACTATGACAAACCATTCAAATTGCTGTAGATATCCCATAATTAGACCTTAAAAATCAAAAGTAGAAACTTAATACAATCCTAGAGGCTAATTTTGGGTCCGAGCCCTACTGCTTGAGACTCCAGGTCTACCTGACCAAAGAAGACAATACTATTGTTACACATAACATCTGTGGGATGAGCTCATCTCTTCATTAGCCATAGTGGCTAGTGGCTAAGTTCTCAGCACTGAGACATTGCAGAGTATTTGTGAAATTGTTGGCATTTGGTACCTGGCAAGTTGAATAACGTGGGCTTCTGTGGGACTCGTCCTGTATGCATTAATTTCCCCTATTCGTGTTCTATATGTTTTTTTTTTTAAAAATTCTCACATCATTTCTATTTATCTGCACCAACTGCTTTGATACACTATTTCATTTGTTCGCTTATGAATGACAGTTGCAGCTAAACACCATGACTTATTGGCTGGAAAGATGGCTCATAGTTAAAAGCACTTGCTGCTGTTGTAGAGCACCTGGGTTCAGTTTCCAGTACCCTCATGAAAACTCACAACGGGTAGCCCTTAATTCTGATTCCGAAGATCTCATTGCTCCTTCTGACCTACACAGACACCAGTCATACATGCAGTGTGCATACAGACATGTATATGTGTGTACACATACGTATATATGTATGTATACATATACATATATTTTTGTTATATAGATAGATATGTATAATAAAAGTAAGAAAGACTTTAAAAAATATCATGGCAACTCAGTGGCAGGCTCTTTGTTCACCTCCCCCTGAGGGGGGAACAGACTTGCCAGGCCACAGAGGAGGACAATGAAGCCAGTCCTGAAGAGACCTGATAATATAAAAATTATACATACACATACATATATATTATCATATCTATATCTATCTATCTATAATATCATGGCTTGATTAGGGGCAAAGAGTATGTCTTGAGTCCTTGGAACAGTATTTAAGAAAAGACTAATTAACAACTAACATTTACTAAATATATCTTAAACAAATGAAACCAAGACTACAACAGCCTTGAAAATTGATTGCAGTCCTTTACAACTAAGGTCCTCCCCTTTGCTGACCCCCTATCTGTATAAGAGTTTGGGTCTGTCCAAGAGGCTTATCCTCATATGGCTTTCCCTAACATGTGCCGAGGAGCGAAATGTGTTATTTATAGCATTATGAGGTTTTTTTTTTTTTCCCTTTCTTGGCAGGAAATCTTACTATTTTTTTTTCAAAAAACTATTGTGAAAATAAATCATAATCAGAATTGAGGTTCTGAGTCCCTCCCTCGCTTTTCTGAATGTGTCTCTTATTTGCTATCCCATTTGTTAGCGTGGGTGGTTGGGTGGGTGGCAGTGGGAGGGACCGGGTGTGTATGTGTATGCAATGCTGTACACGGAGAACTCAGAGTTGTGGGAGCTGGTTCTCTCTTCCCACCAGTCAAAGCTAGGTGGTGACTGTCTTTACCCACCGAACCATCCTGCCAGCACCTGGAATCATTTTTTCTGTATGTAATCTCATTCTTTACAGATTTTCTTATCCTGGTAAAAAAGAGTAACACGTTGAACTGTTACAATAAACATAAACATTTCAACAGAATTCACAGAAAAATATGGATTGTGTGATGGCTTTCATGCTATTCTATGGAAAGGTGTTTCAGTATGGTTGTAAATTGTTATGGTTCATTTTGAGAGGTTGACATAAATGCAAGTTAGACATAAAGCAATCTTTGGAAGCTGAGAGTTCTGCTACAAGGCATGAGCATTCTCTCTGCACAGTATATTACTATATGAGTTTCTCCTCATCTTCTTGATAGAATGTCTGGGAGTCCCTGTTCTTAAGAGAGAATGAACATTACTAAACATTAATAATCTCATCTAACAAGGTTTCCAATGATGAGAGCGAACAAAGTCCTTTGTGATCCAGAACAGTTGCAGACATGTCTTAAAGACCTTATGATAACTTGATGCTTTTTATATTTTTCAGCTTGCATTGGCCAGATCAAGTTCTCTGGGTGACTTTTCCTGGTCTCAAAGGTAAAGAGATTGGTTGTTTCATCTTTTTTTTTTCTCTTCTCTTCTCTTCTCTTCTCTTCTCTTCTCTTCTCTTCTCTTCTCTTCTCTTCTTTTCTTTCCTTTTCTTTCTTTTCCTTTCTTCCTTCTCTCCTCTCTTTCTTTCTTTTTCTCTCTTTAAGTCTTGGCCCAAGATATTTAGAAACATTATCACTACACACACACACACACACACACACACACACACACACACACACACACA